GGGGAATCTCTTATAGAGCGTCTTTTTATGATGATTTTTCTATAGGGGGCCCCAGTATGGAGCCCCCCTCCGGGCTGGGGATTCCCCTCTAGGGGCTTATCCTATAGTGACTGCTCCATAGGGCTCCCCCAGAGCTTCTGCTATAGGGACCACCCTATAGAGTCTTCTCTGTGGGGAGCCTGTGCTATAGATGCCCCCGCTGAGGGCAGGGGCCCTATAGGGTCTCCCGCTGCGCCACCAAAACGGCCCCGTTGCCCAAAACGGCCCCGTTGCCGTGGCGATGCCTCCCGCCCCCAGCAACGCGGTCGCGTTTTTAACTGAATTCAGCTGTTTTCCTCCCAAAAAGCACTCGGGAACGGCGCCGGCATCACTTCCCGCCAAAACGACATCATCACCTTGACGAAAGCGAGCTGTTTTCTCCCCAAAATCGCTTGGACTCCACGCCGTCGCCTCAGCGTCGCTTTGCGCCGACGTGACATCATCGATTTGACGGAATTGAGCTTTTTTTTCCTCCCCAAAACCTCTTAGAAACCGTGCTGCCACCTTGATGTCGCTTCCCACTGAAATGACATCATCACCTTGACGGAATTGAGCTGTTTTCGCCCCAAAACTGTTTCAAGCCCACACCATCGCCTCAGCATCATTTCGCACCGAAACCATGTTATCGCCTTGACGGAATTGAGCTGTTTTCGCCCCAAAACTGTTTCAAGCCCACACCATCGCCTCAGCATCATTTCGCACCGAAACCATGTTATCGCCTTGACGGAATTGAGCTGTTTTCACCCCAAAACCTCTTCAAACCTACGCCGTCACCTCAGCATCGCTTCCCACCGAAATGACATCATCACCTTGACAGAACCGAGCTGTTTTCTCCCCAAACCCCTCTTTGAACCCCCAGCGCCGCACCTCAGCCTCGCGTTCTTAACAAAACCTCCCCGCCTTAACGGATTTCAGCTTTTTTCCCCTCGAAAACCTCTTCAAACCTTTCCCCGCCCCAGCCGTCCTCTTCCCCCCGCCATTTTTTGGGGCGCCATGTCGGGTTGCGACCCCCTGGAGACGCTGCAAGTGGAAGCCAGTTGTTCGGTTTGCCTCGAATACCTCCAAGATCCCGTCATCATCGAATGCGGTCACAATTTTTGTCGCCGGTGCATCACCCGGTGGTGGGCCGAGTTGGCGCGCGATTTCCCCTGCCCCGTTTGTCGGAAAACCTCACGCCATCGCGCTCTTCGACCCAACCGTCAACTCGGTAATATGGTAGAAGCCGCTCGGCAACTTCGCGGCGTCAAACGAAAAGCCGGCGGGGAAAGTCGTTGTCAAGCTCACGGTCAAGCTTTAGCTCGATTCTGTCGCGACGATCAAGCTCCCGTTTGCCTCCTCTGCGAGATCTCCCACGCCCATCGCGCTCACGCCCTCGTCCCCCTCGACGACGCGGCCCTCGAGTATAAGGTCTGAGGGGAGACGGGGGAGAGCGAGCGAAACCTTGGCGGGGTGAAAGGGGGAGCGTCCCCAACTCTTTCTTTTGACCCCCAAATTCAACCCCGCGGGCTGTTTGTGGAGGGGTTTTGGTTGTGATTAGTCTCCAGCGCTGGTTTTGGCTCCAAATTCTTCCCCGAGACCATTCGGGGAGGGGGTTTGGCCACAGCTGGTCCCCGTTTCCAGCCCCTGATGATGGGATTTAGCCCCAAAGTCTCTCCCGGAGACCATTTCTGGAGGGAGTTTGGGCAACATCTTGTCCCTGTCTTCGTTTTTAGCCCCAAACTCTCTGCCTGAGGGCATTTGTGGAGGGGGTTTGGGCAGCAGCTCGTCCCCGTCTCCTTTTTCAGCCCCAAATTCTTCCCCAAGACCGTCCCGGGAGGGGG